TTGATGTTGTTGTTGTTGTTGTTGTTGTTGTTGTTGGTGTTGTTGGTGTTGTTGGTGTTGACGAGGACGTGATTCTGGTACCCCAGGAGGGGTTGCGGGGGGCGGGGGGTCGCAACCGCAACTGCGCAACGTTCGAGCGGGAACGCCGGGGGGGCGGGGCGCAACAGGGCGGATGGAAGCGCAACCAACGGCGCAATGGAGGGGAATGCGCATGCCATTCTACGCTCGGGGGCGCGTTGAGCATGCTCCTTGCAAGCGTTTTGGGGGCGCTCCTTGTGCGCCCTGGGCACGCTCCCTGTAGCGCCCTGGGCACGCCTTGTTTTGTTGTTGTTGTTGTTGTTGTTGTTGTTGTTGTTGTTGTTGTTGTTGTTGTTGTTGTTGTTGTTGTTGTTGTTGTTGTTGTTGTTGTTGTTCTTATTGTTGTTGTTGTTCTTGTTGTTGTTGAATTCTCAGGTCAGAAGAATAATTATTGTTGATCCCCCCTCACCGGTGCATGCTGTTTTTCTCAATCAAAGTGTGCCCCTCGACGCTCGCACCTTCTTTTTGGACAGGGAAGGTCTTCCTTCTCAAACTGGGCCCTTGGCCCCCCGGATTACAACAACAATGGCTTCCGCGTGAGATTTCCTCCAAATTTACTCAGGACCCCCGCTCTTGAGATTTCCCCACAATTTATTCAGGATCGGTGTTCCCGCCTGTGACTTCTCGCAGTTTAGTCAGGACCACCGCTCCCATCTGAGACGTTCTCACGATTTACTCAGGAACGGCGCTCCCGCTTGAGACTACTTCGCAATAGAGTCAAGATCTCCTCGCAATTCAATCAAGACCCCCGCTCCCGCCAGAGACCCCTTCACATTTTATTCAGGAATTGCGCTCTCGCGTGTGACTTCCATGTAATTTATGCAGAAATCGCGCTTTCGACGCTCAGGAAACACGCTGCGTCAAGGACGCCGTTACAATTTACTTAGTAATCGCGCTTTCGCCATACTCAGGCATCCCGCTTGAATATCCCACCCGCCCGACCCGCCCGTCAGGGGATCACCCGCCCGTCGTGGGCTCCCGCCCGAGACTTCCTTCAGGAACGGCGCTTTCGCCTAGGACTTCCTCGAACGTTCCCGCTCTTACCTTCCTGCTCCTCCTTCTCCCTCCTCCCTCCTCCCTCCTCTCCTCCCTTCTGTCTCCCTCCTCTCCTCCCGGGGATGAAGCCGAAGACGCCTCCGACCGAAAAGGAAACTCAATGGGCGCGATCTGCGGTGGCAGCCAATCATCGGGCGATCCACCCCTGCCGACGCCAGCCCCAACTACCAGTGGCCAGCCGCCGCCGACGCTGACGCCGCCTGCGCTCCCATCTCGAGCTGATCTTCGAGCCAGTCGAACGCGGCTCAACCGCGCAGAGACGGCGATATTCCGACGTCCAGGTGGCGGAGTACATCGAGGGCCCTAGTTGCCGCTGCCAGAAGTCAGCCGTGGCGTTGACCGGCCTGTTGAAGCAGTAGAGCGGGGGCGATGAGCCAGCAGGACTGCAGCTCGTGCTGGGCGACGAGGACTTCGACGGGCGCGCGGCCCATCCCGGGCGCATCTACCCCGGTCTCAGCTACAGGGGCACGGCACTTCATGGGCGCGCGGCCTTCCAGCGGGGGCGGCGGAAAGGGTCGATGGAGTTCTTCGGCAACGACGCGTGGGAGTTTCTCTGGCCGAGTGGCGCGGCGGGCCCCTGCAATATTGTCGAGGCGAAATGGGGGTCCGAGTGGGGCGAGGGCGGCGGCGGCGCTTTGAGAGCAAAGGCGAGACTGGCACTGCAAGGGTTTGACGGCCAGGAGCTCTGGCAGGAAAGGTACCTGCGGTGTCGCCTGCGGCGGCGAGGTTGGGGCGTCGGATATCGTTGCAGCTGGCGCTTGCGAATGGTTGGGGGCTCTGGGCAGCAGAGCTCATCGGAGTCGGTCGGGATGCTATGATGAAGCTGATTAAGTGCATGCGCGGCCATGTGGGCGCGCCGCGGCGTTGGCGGTTGTATGTATGCAGTGGGTGACTTGAAGGCCGGCTCCCTCAAGCGGCGCCCGCTGGGCCCCCGCGACTTCGCGAGCTTGGACCTGGGCGGCGGCGGCGACGATTTCGTGCCGCCCTCGCGCGGGCGACATGCTGGCGGGGGGTTGGGGGTGGGGGCGGCGCCTGGGCAGTGGCTGCGCGGTCATCCCCGAGACTGGAAGAGGCTCGAGGTCAGGCAGTGGGTCGACGAGAACGCGGGCCACTGCGGATCGGATCTCGATGGGGCCCCAGCGCTGGGGCGGCAAGCGGTCCAATGGCAGTGAGATCGAAGTCGAGATGCAGACGTACGCTCGCGTCTTCGAGCCAATGGCGATCGATCTGGAGAGCGGCGGCGACGCTCGGGAGGTTGCTCTACAAGGGGAAACCGCGGCTGCCAGGCCTGCTTGGAGCTCTGCGGCGGCCGGGTCCGCGGGCGTGCCCGCGCGTCGGCCCTGGTCGGCGCGCTCGTCGATGGGCACTTGCCCGTGGCGACCGTGGAAACGGCGGAAGAAGTTCACGGGGCGCTGCGCTGCGTCCCTCCTCCTCCTCCTCCTCCTCCTCCTCCTCCTCCTCCTCCTCCTCCTCCTCCTCCCCCCCCGAGCAGAGCGCGGACATTGGCCGCGAGATAAAGAAGGTCGGGCTGCCCTGCGAGATCGCGCTCGCTGCGGTGACAGATGCGGCCCAGGGATCGGAGGTGGACAGACCTCCTGCCCTGGCGCGTCGATTTGCGAATCGGCCGTTTTCGGTTCGCGAGAGGGCGTCGCGGCCGTCGTTTTTGCGGGTCCAGGTCCGTCGGTTTCGGTCCCAGGCCGTTGTCCCTAAAGGGTGGTTTACTAGAAGGAGGTTTGTCCACCGCCGACGGGGGTGCCACGTGGCGGGGCCAGTGGGGGAAGCTGCGCGGTGCTGACCTGCCGCGAGGTGGGAACTGCCAGGGGCAGAGTCGGGCATCGGCATAGTCGCTTGGAAGTTGTTCCCCATTGCGCGCTGAATCTCAAACAGCTGCAGCAGGCATGGGCATCCCGGAGTTTGCCGAGCGGTTCTGGGGGGCCCTCATCTACGACAACGTGGGCGTGGTGAAGGGCGAACGAGTGCGCGCGCTGTGCCGGAAATTCGGCGATAGTTATCGCCTCAAAGGCCTTCTTGGATCCTGCGGCGAGGGGGGGCGACGCCAGCTTCTGGGGCAGGGGTCCGGCGCGGAGGCATTAGCCTTGCGCGACAGGATGGATGCTGCCAGTGCCCGGTTGCGATTGGGGCATCGCTCGAGCGGCGTTGTGCGGGCGGCCCGACCAATGTCGCAGCTCGCCGTCTCTCCGCAGATCGATTTCGCGCGGGGCGCCCGCAGCTGCGCCGCGACCAACGTGCGCGGTGGACAAGAAGAAGGAGCGGGAAGGAGCGACGGGGGAGCATTGGCCAATCGAGACCAGAGGCATTTTCGGCGACGCGGAAGGCGCGACCAATTTTGATGCCGCTGTCAGTGTTCGAGAATTTTTGCTGCATGAGAGCGGCTGGAGACGCCGCGATTGACTTGGTCGTGCAGTGCACGTGCAAGTGCCAGTGCTATTGCGACGACAGGACTGGGGATTGGGTCGCAGGTGGAGTTCAAGAGGCATTGCTCTTCGTGATGTCTGACATGATCGTCGCCCTGCCGCCCGCTGACTACCCCGTGCTGACTGAGATCTCAGCAAGGGGGCCCGACATCGAGAACATCGAGCCGGGCGTCGATGTAACTAAGGATTGGGAAAACGAGAGAGAGAGAGAGAGAAAGAACACGCGGCTAACGAGAGAGCGCGCGGTATAATTGCAGAGCGTGGGCTCCTCAAACTCTTGGGATAGTAGTGGTGGTTTGACCACCAGACTCAGGGCTTCAAGCGGGCTGGAGAGGCCGCGACAAACAGGCACCAACGATCGGACACTACAAGACAGGGGAGGTCCATGAGGCGTACCTATGATAGACACCTTCGTGCGAATCCAACCGCACTTTTCGCTTGCTTGTCACGTTGCGTGCTGTTCTTGATTAGCTATACTTGGTGAACTCAGAATTTCGTATTGACTCGTTCCCCCTTGTGGTGGTGTGAGGTATGCGCTGTAAATTTGTGTTTGTACATTGCAAGCTGCCTGTGAGAGGATTGTCTAGATATGGGAGAGGTTCCATTGTTGTGCTGGCCCAGAACTGTGCAGGGCTCTTGAGCTAGTCGAGCGGGATGATGCCGATGATGATTATGACGAGGATGAGGATGAGGAGGTGGAGGAGTCGCACCAGCCTGAACCCATGATTCGTTAACGATGTTGCAATCGACCCTCTTTCCAAGTTTCCTTTTTTCCATCGGGCCCTACAAGGAACTACCTTCACTGACAACCGTCATAACATCCCGTTCCATGCCAAATCACCGTGCCTGGTACAAAGCGCCGCGAGTCAGCGTTCTCGGTGCGTCTTGACCTTCCTGAAACGTACCAGAACACCGATCCTGGGATTTAAGCGTCACTGTCGCGCCCTGACCGTCCTACATCGTCCCACAATACCGTTTTCGGGCATCACTCACAACAGTCATTGAAATTCATGTGGACTCTTAGGACGCATGTGCGCGTTTCGAAGGCGCAAACCACGTTTTGAACAACAACGCCCTCCATTTGTGAAACGCTTGCGTTGTTATTGGGCGATTTTGCGCGGCCCTATGGCGAGGGCCACATGTGAAAGCCACCCGCCCTCCATGCGTTAAACTTTACGACTAGTGTGAGCGGTGCCAGAGCGAAGGCTACGTTTTTGAACCACCCGCCCTTTATCCGTTGTTTTTTGCTGTTGTTGTTTGTGTGTTGCAAATTGTTCTTCTCAAGGATCATGCCTGGTGAGGAAGTCTCAAGTGATACGCCCGGCCCGCCCCACCGACACGTTTCGGTGTGCTGCACGGAGGAGTTACTTATCAGGAAAACGGATGAAGGAGGGGGAGGAGCAATGGAGGCAGCGGGAAAGGCCAAGAAAGGGCCGGGACGGATATCCTCTCCCCGCAGTGGCCGGCGTTCGTGGAGAAGCTGCGCGGTGCAGTTCGCGACGGGGAACCCCGCCAGGCTGCCACCCTGCCGTCGCCAACCCGACAGCGGCCGTCCGGAGGGATGGGGGTGAGGGAGTTAAGAGGGACAGAGATGGGGGTGGATGGGAGGGGGATGGGCGCGAGGATGCGGGAGGGGGGGGGGGGAATTGGGGAGAGGCAGAACGACGGGGTGAATGCGGAGGGCGAGCTTGTTTGGGCGGGCATAGCGTCCGCACGGGGGGATCATAATACATAGAAAATGGAGGAGGAGGAGGTGGAAAAGGAGGAGGAGGAGGAGGAGGAGGAGGAGGAGGAGAGAGGCGGAGGCGGAGGCGGAGGAGGAGGAGGAGGAGGAGGAGGAGGAGGAGGAGGAGGAAGAAGACGAAGAAGAAGAAGAAGAAGAAGAAGAGGAGGAGGAGGAGGAGGCGGAGGCGGAGGCGGAGGAGAGGAGGAGGATGAGGAGATAATGATGATGATGATGATGATGATGATGATGATGATGATGATGATGATGATGATGATGATGATGATGATGATGATGATGATGATGATGATGATGATGATGATGATGATGATGACGATGATGATGTGATGATGATGATGATGATGAGGAGGAGGAGGAGAGGAGGAGGATGATGATGATGATGATGATGATGCTGATGCTGATGCTGATGCTGATGCTGATGATGATGATGATGAGGAGGAGGGGAGGGAGGAGGATGAGGAGGAGGAGGGGGGAGGAAGAGGAGGAGGAGGGGAAGGGAGGAGGAGGAGGAGGAGGAGGAGGAGGAGGAGGAGGAGGAGGAGGAGCAGGAGGAGGAAAAGGAGGTACCCAGCGGACCGAACGTAGGCAATCCCTCACGCAGCAAGCACCTCTCAGCAGCCTGTCGGCAGCCTGACGGCGACCGCGAATAGGTCCCCATCGTCACTTCCAACACGCTGTTCCATCGCGCCAACCACCTCGCCCATTCTCTACAGCAGATCCAGGAAGGGTCAGCCCGACAGGTTCCGCCGAGCACAGGCAGCCGTGGATGACTTCCAGCAGGCCATCCGACCCGCCGCCTCCTTTGGGGCGCCCCTCCAGGATCACCTCCAGGCTCTCGTTGCTGCTTAACGCGCGGCACGCCAGAGCTGGCGCCCTCCCCCCTCCCAGAGGACTCCGCGAACGGCCGGCACCCCTGCCGCCGCCCTCCTCCTGGGCCGCCGCGGGGGGTGCCCCAGGGCGGCGCAGAGCACTGGTAGGGCGCCGTCTCACGCACGCCACGGTGCACGTGCTGCCGCCGTCTCTCTGCTGGAGGGCGTGCCGAAGTGGCGAGCCTCGCCCTTGCCGCCACGTCCTGCCTCTGCTGTTCAGTCGGGGCCGCCCTCGATCGCGCCAGGCGGGAGAGTCACAAGTCTTCCCACCCGTGATCGTGCGCGCGGCACCTCCCGACACATGAGGTTTGCGCGGATGGCTCCTGCAGTCCCCGGGTGAAACGGACTTCGGCCCGCCGATTTGTTACGATCTCGTTATTTTTGTCCCTCTCTCTCCCTTTCTCTCTCTCTTTCCCTCTCTCTCTCTCTGTCTTCTTCCCTCTCCTTCTCCTCCCTCTCCCTTTTACCTCTCTGCCCTGGTTTCTCCTTCCTCCCTCCTATTTGTTTTTATCTCTTCCTCGTCGTCGTCATCCTCTTCCACATCCTCCCCCCGTCCCTCCCCTCCACCTCTGCTCCCTCCATCCCCTCCTTCCCTTCCGTGCTTCATCACTTGCGCTTGCCAAGCTTCCACCTTTAAACCCAAGGCCTCCATCTCCCACCTGCGCTTCATCGAGTGAGCTCTGGGGGCCGTGCCGCTCCTTCTATCCGCAGGTTGCCAGCGTGGTGTGGGCGTTTGCCAACCTGCAGGCGAAGGACGCCCAGATCTTGGACGCAGCCGCGGACAGGTGCCGCCAGTCTCGGAACCTGGTTCCCACGGGACGGGTCTTCCCCGATACCCCGCGGAACATTGACCCGCGTTTTCCAATGCGGCGGAGGAGGAGGAAGAGGAGGAAGAGGAGGAGGAGGAGGAGGAGGAGGAGGAGGGGGACCAGGAGGACGAGGAGGAGGAGGAATAACAGGAGGAGGAACAGGAGGAGGAGGAAAAACAGGAGGGAGAGGAGGATGAGGAGGAGGAGCAGGAGGACAAGGAGGAGGAGGAAGAGGAGGAGGAGGAGGAGGAGAAGGCGAGGCGAGGAGGAGGAGGAGGAGGCCACCACGCTGTCGACGAATGACAGACCCGACACAGGTCCAACCCCATCGTCACAAACACCTGCCAAACAAAAACCACCGCAGCGCGCCACACCAATTGCTAAAAAACACCACTCCAGAGGTCAACATCGCGCACCACAATCAGTGACACAATCGCAACCACACCAAACGCGCTTCCCACAAAAGGCCCTCACCACACGGTCACCCACACTACGACTCACCACACCCGTACACCTACCGCCACCGACTCACAGGATCCCCATTATTTGCTCACCCATCGAATCTGCAAGGACACAACCGTGGATACAAGACATACCTACGCACCACCTTGCACCACAGACCTGCGCCACCAGACAGGTATACTTTCGCACAGAGAGATCAACAGCCGCGGACGCATCTTCGTGCAGGACATCGGTGACCCGCGACTCCACGAATACGTTGCCATCGTGCGCGCGCACCAGGCACAGTACGAGCAGCACCTCGCCGACGTCCACACTCGCAATCTCGAACACAGCATACGTTTTAAGGAAGCACCACCGAGCAAGCCGTACACACTCATCTCCAAAGTACCACCGAGATCCGAACAGCAACAGACCAACACAGTCGACGACAGCAACACCACGTGACAATCATACGGCTACGCGCATTTCTGACGTACATGACGAACCAGGCGGGTATAGGCCAGAGATTAACGCGACATTTACCACAAGCTCTGCCTCGTCGCCGATTACCGCAGAATTTCAATGACTGACCTTTCCTCCCTGTCCTCGCAACACTTCAGTCTACCAGTTCAGTTCAGTGGCAGTACTTCGACTTACTCATTCCTCTCCTCTCAGGTTTCGTTGCACATTCTGCGTCGTCCTCGTCTTCCACTTACTCTCCCCCCTTCTCGCTCACGTGTCAGGAGGTCAGCTGGCCAGCCAAGCGTTTCTGCGTGGCCCCCTCGCCCCAAGGGACCGTACCCAACCAACTACGGTGGAGGGCAGCAGCCAGCATGAGCGTCCCTCGAATGCTCCGGGTTCCTGCTCCTCCTCCCTTTCGGTTACACACGGACCCTTCTCACTCACCTCTCGCCCGTCGTTGCTGCTTGCTTTATTCCCGCTCCACACCGCAAAGGTCGCAGCCCAAGGACTGCACCACGCTTTCTCCCCGCGTACTCCCGGCATGCATTACAGCAGATCAGCCACCGCAGACCATCTGAACACTCAGTTCACGTCAGGGCCTCTGCGCATTGCTGCTTGTTTTATTCCTAATCCACACCCGGATCGCAGCCCAGGACTTGCGCCTGGTCTTTCGCGCCTACCCATGGCGTTGCAGGGTTGGCTCTGAGCGGTGGGGTCGATCGGGCGGCGGGGAGGAGGACCGTGAAGTGCCACAGCGGTCGCGGCCCAAGGTTTGTATTTTACTTTCATCTCGCCTACCTCAGTCATGTTTGCAGGAAATCAGCACTGTTTCTGCGTTCACTAGCCTCGCACACCAGGCACCTCCCGTACAAGTCAGCCTGGCAGGCCAGCTTCAGCAGTAACGGCTACCCAACGCCTTTTTACATTTTGCTTCGCGTCCTGCTCTTGATTATCAAAACCCTTTGCCTCGCACTTCAGGCGCCTTCTGTGCAGGCCAGCCCTAGCAGTGGCAGCTAACCAGCGGCATTTTATACATCTTGCCTCGTCCTACTCTTGCTCAAGGCAGCACACAGCTGCAGCCTATACTCACATACTCTTCCCACTTCCCTCCTTTGAGGATCCCCCTGGCCCACAAGGCAGGGCGGGCCCCACTTGCAAGTTCTATCTCGCGCGCAATGTCGTTTCATTCTCTTTCCCGGCACCTTACGGCAAGACCCAATGCTACTGGCCAGCCTGTAGGCCAGCCTTATAACACAGTCTTTGATGTTCAGGGTTCGAGCTTAACCAGAACAACATACATCAAGCACGCAGGTCCTGGGACCAAGGAGGTTTGGGGTACACCCAAAAACCCTGGGCAGCAACCCAAGAACTGCTACAGCTAGTACTTGCCATCTCTTTACACTTTGTGTTGCTAGCCTGTACCTAACTGGGGGAGCGGCGGGTTATATATATATATATATATATTTGGATGGGTGGCGGTGGTCGGGACATGCTACCAACAGGACAGGCGCGGCAGCTTTGCCGCTCCAAGGCCAGCCTTACAGACTAGCCCATGTCTCTTGTGATCAGGCGCTCACCCACCTTCCTCCTACCGTCGCCTGCGCAGCGAATGCTGCGATCACTGCTTCTGAAGGAACCTTGTTTGGATTTTGGCACGTCCAACTGCTTGTGCTCTGTCCGTACCTTTGGCAGCCCACCCACCACTTTTTTTTTTGGTTTGTTGTGTAATACCTCCATTCTGCAGTACTTTTCGTATTTCTCCTCGAGCACTTCGCGGCGGCCCGCTACACTACGTTCTTGGGCGTGGAAGGGGTTACTTTCAGGCGCGGGGAGGAGGAGGACCGCTACACACCACAAGGGTTGCAGATCAAGGATTGCAATCTGCTTTTTTCTCCGCCTACTTTCGGCACTGAGTGCAGCAAGCCAGCTGCCTCTGCATTTACCAGGCTCGTGCACCTGACATCTTATACACTCCATTTAACAGGCCAAATTTAGCATTGGTGGAGACCCAAGGCCACCTTATACATGCCACCCTTCGCCTTACTCCTGCTCCTGGCACCACGCATTGCTATGCCATTTGCCTTTTCAACCGGGGGCAGTTGGTACCTGCTATATTCGGGGAAGGTCAGTTGGTGTTGAAGGGGGGGAGGATTGGTGATTTGCTAAGGTACATTGCGCTTCCAGTGCTTGGCGGGCGCCTACTTCCTGTGCTACCCTTTGCAGCCAATCTTCTTTTACCGCCTGCTCCGCGACGCCCGCCAAGTATATGTGAGTCAAGTCGTGTTTTCTCTTGCTTGACTTCGGAAGCGCCGCGTGCTGGCGCATAAGGTCCGCGCGACGTCAAGAAGGAGTGGGAGGAGCAGGAGGAGTAGGAGGAGGAGGCGGAGGAGGAGGAGGAACAGGAGGCAAAGGAGCAGGAAGAGGAGGGGCATGATGATGATGAGGAGGATGAGGATGAGGAGGATAAGGAGGAGGAGGAGGAAGAGGAAGAGGAGGAGGAGGAGGAGGAAGAGGAAGAGGAGGAGGAGGAAAGAGAGGACGAGGGAGAGGGGGACGAGGACGAGGACGATGCGGAAGAGGACGAGGAGGAGGAATACGGTGAACAATAATAATAATTATGAGAACAATAATAATACTAATGCTAAGTTTCATTCAGTAGAAGTTGTAATACTAAGAAGATGAAGGCGAACAGTAATTCTAACAATGCTAATCATATGAATACTTCTAAGAAACAGAGCACGACGAATCAAACTACGAATCAACATGTTCATACTATTGGTGCACACTATGTCAGTATTCATACCAATAACACCACTAACCACAGTAACAATCATACCACTAATAGTACTAGAGCTAATACCAGTCATACTAGTCGCCGTGCGGCAATTTGTATCAACTTATTGACATACCTGACGCCAATCGCAATACTGGGTATGTAGTAGTAGTGGTAGTGCTATTACTAATGCTACAACTTGTAATGAATACGGGAAGTAATCATACCAGTAATACTACGGATCATAACTCCTAACCGTGCGCATGCTATTGCTACTGCCCAACGTACCAGTAATGCTGGCAACATGTATAACGCTAACAACATAACAGTAAGCTTGCTACCACTACTGTTAATAATATCAGAGAGACTGTTGTTATACATAAATGTCAGTACGGGATTTTTACGAATACTACCACAAACATGTCTTATTAGTCTGAATAGTATTTATACCTGTGGCAATCCCAATGCTCATGTTACCACGACTAGTACAACGAATTGTCATACGAATGAGTCTACCTAGATTAGTACCAATAGTAATGAGCGGAGTAGTACTCGTAGTAGTAGTAGTAGTAGTAGTAGTAGTAGTAGTAGTAGTAGTGGTAGTAGTAGTAGTAGTAGTAGTAGTAGAAGTCGTAGTAGTAGCAGTAGTAGTAATGGTCGTAGTAGTAGTAGTAGTAGCAGCAGTAGTAGTTGTAGCAGTCATAGTAGTCGTCGTAGTAGTAGTAGTAGTAGTAGTAGTAGTAGTAGTAGTAGTAGTAGTCGTAGTCGTAGTCGTAGTAGTAGTGATAGCCGTAGTAGTAGTAGTAGTAGTAGTAGTAGTAGTCGTCGTCGTAGTCGTAGTCGTAGTAGTAGTGGTAGTAGTCGTAGTAGTAGTAATAGTAGTAGTAGTAGTAGTAGTAGTAGTAGTAGTCGCCGTCGTCGTCGTCGTGGTCGTAGTAGTAGCCCTAGTAGTAGTAGTAGTAGTAGTAGTAGTAGTAGTAGCAGCAGCAGCAGCAGTAGTAGTAGTAGTAGTAGTATTAGTAGTAGTAGTAGTAGTAGTAGTAGTAGTAGTAGTGGTAGTAGTAGTAGTAGTAGTAGTAGTAGTAGTAGTAGTTGTAGTGTAGTAGTAGTAGTAGTAGTAGTAGTAGTTAGTAGTAGTAGTAGTAGTAGTAGTAGTAGTAGTAGTAGTAGTAGTAGTCGTATGAGTAGTAGTAGTGGTAGTAGTCGTAGTAGTAGTAGGAGTTGTAGTAGTAGTCGTAGTAGTAGTAGTAGTCGTAGTAGTATTGCTCGTCGTCGTAGTAGTAGTAGTAGTAGTAGTAGT